GGACTTTGGCTAAAAAAAAATCATAGGCTGGAAAGAAAATATGGATTGAGCAGCCAATCTGTGCCATTAAAAACTCCAAGGCACTAGCAGTGCCTGTAGTGTGAAGAGTCCGTCTAACTTGATTTGCTCCATACATCCATGAAGTAGCCAATCTTCCTTTGTGGCAACTTGAATTGGACTCTCTTCTGGGGCCTGAACGCCTCAGCTCATGACTGTAATACACACTAAACTGCTCTTTGATGAGTATTTTTATAGTGATAGCCTCCTTGACTAGAAGTTAAAATGCCTTAATGCCACCTTGTCCCATAGATCCTTCCCTCTCTAACTCCAAAGGGAATGTGCTAGGTGGGAACCACACTCAATGGCTTTCCTGAACTGTGGCAAGAGTCTGCAGACTGATCTCCCTGGCTCTTGATTCTCATCCATCTTGCCCTTCCAAAAGTTGGCACTCTTCTTTCTCACAGTGTCAGTGCTTCTCCCTTCCTGTCTCAACAGCACATACACTAAAGCCTCATATCTTTTCCTTGTTAAGCAAACCCCTTTCAGATCTGGTCCCAATCATTCTTTCCAGGTTTCTTTCTTCTGATCCTTTACTTGCACACTACAGTCCCAGCTAAGCTCAGCCTGGATTCATTGCTAAACTGAATACACAGGGGCTTTTCTCTGTAGTCACCTCTCAATCCTGTCAACAGTTCATGAAGATCCACCTGTTTCTTTCCCATCCTCACGGTCTTATGTTTGTCAGTACATATGTCCTTTTATACCATCACAGTGTGCATACTTGGCCACCTTCCATGAGGTAGCCCTTGGTCTATTATCTTTCCATTCGCTAGACTGCTTAGCTCAGTGCCTGGAAATCAATTTTTTGCCAGAAACAAAACTTGGATCATTTAAGGGAAAATGGATGCGTGCATTAGAACTACAAACTTCCATTAAAAAAAAAAAGAAGAGGAAGGAAGGAAAGAAGAAAGAAAGGAAGGACAGGAGGAAAGGAAGGGAGGGAGGGAAGAGGGAGGAAGAGAGGAAGGAAAGGAAAGATGGCTAAAGATGTGAGCATTTCCATTCAGCTCCAAATTAGAGTTGAGTAGCTGGTTCTCCAGACAAGCACTTGGAAGAATTGTTTTTACCTATTATCTATCTTCTCTCTCAAGTTGCCTAAAGTTGCTTTGAAGTCTGTAAAATGGCCAATATCTCCAATCAGAGCAGTGATTCCTTTCCAGACAGAAAGACTAAGTAGAGAAGCCACACTTGTTTTTGAGGTCTGACTGCAACGGTGACTCATTCAGTCAAGCTAGAGGCTGTTTTGATCTTTCACTGTTCAGAGCCTATTTACAGTTGTAATTTTCTTCCTTTCTCTCTCCCTCTCTCTCTCTCTCTCTCTCTCTTCCCGCCTCTGGTGACTTATCGGAAGGGTCACACACATTTGACGAATGCAATCTGTATAAGGAGAGAGAGTGCTCACTTGAACGCAGATTCAGCTGTAGCCCACGAATGAATGCTTGTGTTTACAGCTCTGATGATAGGGTTCCGGTAATGACTTGGCCTTTTTCTCCTTGATTGAATATTCCCCTGGGCCTGCCAGTCTGGACTCCTGTTATTTAATGAGGACATTGGAGCACAACCTCAAGATGTCTGCAGAAATGACCTTTTCTTTGGGCTCACTCCAAAAGCAAAGTAGAGCCCAAATTAGAGAGGGTGGCTCTGGAATACAGCTTTGGAATTAGCTTTTCTTTTTCCCCCCAGAAGCTCAGAATCATAGATTCACAACCATGAGGACCAGGGTGAACTGAACCGTGGGGATAAACTAGTTATAAGTTTTCATTTTGCTTATGGAGAAATTGATGATTAGAGGGGAAAATGCAAGACACCGTAATTTACATAGGACAGTCTGAACAAATCCTAGCCAGTGTTCTTTGGCCTGGCTGATACAGACATTTACAAATGGCTAAATGTAGATAAAGAAGAAGCTTCCCTGAGATTCTCCTGTGTCCTTCTGTGGCACTGCTGTACTTGCCTTTCCTTTGCCTTCTGGCCGGGAATTTCATGACCAGAGATGACATGGCCCATACAGGCAAAGAGGAGCTGACAGACCAGCAGCATCAGCTAAAGACTCAGCCTCTGGTTACAAACTCAGTGTCTCATATTAGCCTTGAAAAACAATACAGGAAAAGCACATGGGTAAGTGGGGAAGGGTCCCAACTGGGACAGCCTTGAAGGTTCCATGCCAAACTCATTCAGTATGTATCTGCATTTGGCTTCACTTATTATATGGGGCATTAGTTTAGCATTCTGATGAAATATAAATGTGAGAATATGGCCAGAAAGTGCTTGATAATAAAGTCCTGTTCTATTTGTGAGAATTATTATGTTTTATCTAGATACAGTGTTGTTTTCTTTAAGATAGAGATTTCACAGTCTTTTGTTGAAAAAGATCCTTTAACTCCAAATGGGAGATTTTATAGATTATTTTTGGCTATAAATTTTGCACATACTTATTGTAAATGATTTGGGAATCTGTAAATATGTTTTTAAAGAAAGAATATCATCTTTAAACTTACTACTCAGATATAATACTTGTATATATGCAGTTAGGATCAAATTATAGTGATTTTTGCCCTGTCCTGAGTTTTTTCCAGGTCATTAAAAAATAAAAAATACACATATATAAAGTTTCCTGTTAGACTGCACATAATATAATCAGATGTTACCTTCTTAAATGTGTAAGTAGCTAATTAGTGATTTCTTTAACTCCACTTTAAAGATTGAAGCTCAGTTTGGAGTTTACTTGGGTCTCTCTATAAATAAGGTTATTATAAAATCTGGTCCAACTGAGGCCATTTTTGAAAGTGGAAAATCATATTATTAATCATTATACTGTGACAAAAAGCATACATCTGAACTTCTATAAGAAAAACGGAATATAAGGTCACTGTGCTTACAAACGTGAAAAATTTCAGGAATTTCACTGACCAGAAGTAACAAGACTTAAAGTAAAGAGCAAATGCACCAGAGTCAGAAGACTTGTGTCTAAGCTTAAGATCCACCATTTAAGTAAAAATGGGACATGACACAGAACTTTTGTTTCCTCATCTCTAAAATATAGATTATTCTCTGTACATCAACCTAATCTGCTCCTCAAATGTAGACCGGCTCTTTTGTCAAAGATGAGGTGGCTGAGCATGTCTGGAGTTGTTTCTGTATCTTCTAATCTATTCCACTGATCCTCAGGTCGCTTCCTTTGCCAGTACCATATTGATTTTATCACAGTAGCTTTGTAGTGTAGTTTCAAATTGGGGATTGTGATATCCCCCAACCATGTCTCTGTTGCTTAGAATTGCTTTAGCTATTCTAGGTCTCTTATGGTTCCAAATGAATTTTTGGAGGAAAGATAGCCTATTTAATAAATGGTGTTGGAAAAACTGGATTTCAACCTGCCAAAGATTGAAACTAGACCCATACCTATCACCATGCACTAAACTAAGATCAGAGTGGATTAAAGATATAAATATTAAGACAGAAACACTAAACTTGCTGGGAGATAAGTTAGGTAGAACTCTTGAAGACACTGGCATAGGAAAAGACTTTATGAACAAAACCTCGGTAGCACAGGAACTAGCAGAAAGAATCAACAACTGGGATCTCATCTTATTAAAAAGCTTCTGCACTGAAAAAGAAACCACCAACAGAGCTAACAGATGACCTACAATATGGGAAAAAAATTTTAGCAGCTGTACCTCAGACAAAGGACTACTATCTAGAATATATAAAGAATTGAAAAAAATTAGACCTCCCAAATTCAAAGACCCAATTCAAAAATGGGCATCTGAAACGAACAGACGTTTCTCTGACAAGGAAGTCAAAGCAGCAAATAAATATATGAAAAAATATTCAAGAACAACAAAAAAAGAAAAAATGTTCAACATCACTGGTCATTCGAGAGATGCAGATGAAAACAGCACTGAGATTCCACCTCACCCCGAAAAGAATGGCTGCTATCAAGAAATCAACAAATAACAAATGCTGGCAGGGTTGTGGGGAAAAAGGAACCCTTCTCCATTGTTGGTGGGAGTGCAGACTGGTGCAACCACTGTGGAAGTCAGTATGGAGATACATCAAAGAACTAGGACTAGAGGTCCCATTTGACCCAGCTATTCCCCTGCTGGGTATCTTCCCAAAAGAATTAAAAGAATCATACCACAGTGATATATGTGTACCCATGTTCATAGTGGCACAGTTTGTAATAGCTAAAGCTTGGAAACAGCCCAAGTGCCCATCAACTGGAAACTGGATAAAGAAAATGTGGGCTTTTTTATAAAATGGAGTACTACTCAGCCATAAAGAATGAAAAACTAGAGTCATTTATAGCTAAATGGATGCATATCAAGGCCATACTCTTAAGTGAAATAAAGGACACACATGTGTAAATATCGAATAGTTTCACTAGTGTGAGAAACTGATAGTGTAAACAAGGGTTAAAATGATTAAAATGAATAACTGATAATTTGAAATAGGAAAAAAGGTCCAAAGACGAAGGAGTAAAGGGAGGGGAAGGGGAAAGGAAAAGAGGGAAAGGAAAAATTATGAGAAAAGAAAAAAAATGGAAATGAAATCTATGTAAATAGGGAAGGGTGGAGGGGGTAAAGGGTGCACAGGTAAGGGGGAAAAAAATAAGAACCAAGATATATCATGTACAGGTCCAAACACCCAATGGTAAATGTAAACAAATTGTATACCTAAAGTGTACCCATAAAATGTACCAATAAAATTAATTTTTAAAAAAATGTAGATCATTACCTGCGTTTGTTTAAGAATCATGCACCAGGCAGCACTGTTAGCACCAAATACTAGCTCCCTGGGAACAGTGAGGCAGCTAAAGTAGTTAGCAGGGATGGAGTGAGGTCACCTAAAATACGTGTCACCAGTGTCATTCGCAGCATAATTGTTTCATTGTGTCCTCACTGCATGAGGCGGAGACCTCACCCACTTGCTGGGGACACACATCAGTAACCAGAAGGGCCTCGGATACTTGGGAAGCCCTGGCAGCCTAAGCCACCCTAGTCGGCAGCCAGGCAGCTTGCAAGTGCTGCAGACTTTCTTCTGCTTTCCCCTGACCTCACGGTCTTTCTACCCACTCTCCTGTTTCGTCTCCCCAGCTGACAATTCAAGAGATGGTGTACCTTTCCACGAAATGGACTCTACGCCTGAGACCTTTCTTTATGTGGAACTAAAACTCTCTCGGCTTCAGGGATTTATTTCACTGGTTCATAATCTGGTGAAGCTGCCCAGGAGCCAGAGCTAGGATGAGTCATGTGACAGTGGGAAATACGCTCGGCGGTGTAGACAAGCAGTTTGCTGGTTTAGACCTGAACTCTTCTGATCATCAGAGTGGGGCAGAAAGCACAGCAAGCAAAGGACTTTATAAACCTCCTCATTTAAGAAACAGAGAGGCATCCAAAGGGCTCTACCACAAGAAAAGTTCAGGATGGAATTGCAGTGAAGACAAGGATGTGTATAGCAGTTTTGGATCTTGTGATTCAAGAGGAAAGTCCAGTTACTTCAGTGATCGTGGAAGTGGATCAAGGGGAAGATTTGATGATCGTGGACAGAGTGACTATGGCGGTGTTGGCAGTTGTGACAGAACTGGGTTTGGCAAATTTGAAAGTAGCGGATATAGTCGTTGGTGTGACAGATCAGATGAAGATGATTGGTCAAAACCTCTTCCTCCAAGTGAGCACTTAGAACATGAACTCTTTTCAGAAGGAAATACTGGGATTAACTTTGAGAAATATGACGATATACCAGTAGAGGCAACTGGCAATAACTGTCCTCCACATATTGAAAATTTTAGCGATGTTGAGATGGGAGAAATTATCATGGGAAACATTAAACTTACTCGTTATACTCGTCCTACTCCAGTGCAAAAACACGCAATTCCTATTATCAAAGAAAAAAGGGACTTAATGGCTTGTGCTCAAACAGGATCTGGAAAAACTGCAGCATTTCTTCTGCCAATCCTGAGTCAAATATATACACATGGTCCAGGAGAGGCTTTAAAGGCTACAAAGGAAAGTAGAAGGTACAGGCAGCGCAAACAGTACCCAATCTCCTTGGTGTTAGCCCCAACCAGAGAGTTGGCAGTGCAGATCTACAAGGAAGCCAGAAAATTTTCATACCGATCTAGAGTTCGTCCTTGTGTAGTTTATGGTGGTGCTGATATTGGCCAACAGATTCGAGACTTAGAACATGGTTGCCACTTACTAGTTGCCACTCCAGGACGTCTGGAGGATATGATGGAAAGAGGAAAAATTGGATTAGATTTCTGCAAATACTTAGTGTTGGATGAAGCTGACAGGATGTTGGATATGGGGTTTGAACCTCAGATAAGACATATAGTTGAAAAATATACTATGCCACCAAAGGGTGTCCGTCACACTATGATGTTTAGTGCTACTTTTCCTAAGGAGATACAGATGCTTGCTCGTGATTTCTTGGATGAATACATCTTTCTGGCTGTAGGCAGAGTAGGCTCTACTTCTGAGAACATCACACAGCGAGTGGTTTGGGTGGAAGAGTTAGAGAAACGGTCATTTCTACTTGATCTCTTAGGTCCAACTGGAAAGGGTTCACTGACTTTAGTGTTTGTGGAGACTAAAAAGGGTGCAGATTCTCTGGAGGATTTCTTACACCATGAAGGGTATGCTTGTACCAGTATTCATGGAGACCGATCACAAAGAGATCGAGAGGAAGCACTTCAGCAGTTCCGCTCAGGGAAAACCCCAATTCTTGTGGCCACAGCTGTGGCAGCAAGAGGTCTAGACATTTCAAATGTGAAACATGTTATCAACTTTGATTTGCCAAGTGACATTGAGGAATATGTGCATCGCATTGGCCGTACAGGACGTCTAGGAAAGCTTGGCCTTGCCACCTCATTCTTTAACGAAAGAAATGCAAAGATTATGAAGGATTTATTGGATCTACTTATTGAAGCTAAACAAGAAGTGCCAGCTTGGTTGGAAAATATGGCTTTTGAACACCGTTACAAGGGTAGCAGTCGTGGATGTTCTAAGAGATTCAGTGGGGGACTTGGTGCCAGAGATTATCGACAAAGTAGTGGTTCCAGCAGGTCTTGTTTTAGTAGTAATCGTGCAAGCAGCAGCCACAGTGGTGGAGGTGGTCACAGCAATAACAGAGGATTTGGTGGAGCTGACTATGGAGGCTTCTACAATAGTGATGGATATGGTGGAAATTATAACTCCTAGGGAATTAACTGCTGGGGCAACTGAATCTCCTTTACTACAGTCATCATCATGTTGTACAACATTTCCAAAATGGAATCCACCTGTAACTTAGCCAGACTATAATATGTAGTAGCTTCAAGAACTTGCAGTACATTACCACCTGTGATTCTCCTGAAAATTTCAAGAGAGCTCAAAGTCACAAGAAGAAATCAACAAAACAACTACATCCCTATTCAGAAGTTGAAGACTTAGTTGCTGCTGCATGAATTAGCTTAGTGCCACCCAAAACTTCATTTGTAATTCTGTGAACTGAGGATCATTTGTTTGTTAATGTACTGTAACTTTAACAGCTTATTATTTTGATGTCCTGTTAGCTCAGTAATGCTCAAAATATCAATTGTTTGGACAAAATAAATATACCGAACTTGGGCTACAATTAAACCTTGGCACACAAGTGTGATTCTATTTAGCAGTGATAATTAATTCATCAATAAATATAAGGAAAAAATAGTGCAGTAGCCTGTGTTAGGAGTTTGGTACTTGTAGACCCTGGTGGGGAGGAGGACATCTTAAAATTATTTTCTAATATGACAGACTACTAAGGTTCTGACTTGCTCACTCTATCCTGGATAGGCACTTCGAACTTTAAACTATAAGAGCCATTCCAGTCATGAAGTGTGATGTTGTGAACTCAGCTGTAATATTTTTTGAGACCACTCTTTAAAGTTAATGCAGGTAAATACAGCAATTCCCTGTTTAATATTTAGGCTGTTTACTAATTTAAGTGTTGGGGAGGGTGTATTTAATTAGATCCTTTAATGCCCACCATAAATCAATTTGAAATGTTAGAATGGCTATCCATAGGAATGACCAATCCTTTTATAGGCCTTACTAGATTCTGGTCTTCACTGGATGCAGTGTCGATGTTTTTTGGACAAGAGAGTATGGACTGAGAGGTTTATGCAGCAGGCTTTATTTTAATGCAGATTCACATCGCTTCATTACAGCTGGATTGAAATGTTAAGATGGCTTACACTTGGGAGATTTTGTAAATGTAAGGGTAAGGAATTGAGCTCTCATAGGTTGGAGGTAGATACTAAACTGCACAAGGTGTCAGTTCTTAACAGTGCAGTTTTACTGTTATTTTAGTTGCATAAGTTTCCATTGTAGTTATAGTCTCTGTGCTAAATTTGTCCAAAGATGACTGTCCACTGCTAAAAAGGAAATGTCTCTCCACTTGGGATGCTATGGCCAGAATGCATTGATCTTTAAAAATCTTTAAAGTGGCATAAGTTAGCAAAAATTTCTTACAAAGTGTAATAGATTTTCAAGAGTTTGTGCCTTGTTCTAAACTTTATTGAAGTAGGGTGCACTTGACAGTATTGAAGTCATTTGTTTTGGTGCTATTTCAATTAGTGTAGGTTTAGACTCTTGTATACACATTTTGCTCATAATTTTTTACAAAGTACTTATTTTATTGCACATTCAGAGAGAATTTTATATATATGTCTTCTGTGCGAGTCCTTAAAATTTCCAATCTTATTTTGTCTCTTGATTGTTGAATAGAGTTTGTCAAGAACTAGTTTCTAAAATTTTAATTAGGACCATGGATGACAGCTAAGAAAACTATTTGTACATGACAGACCTTAGACACTTTTTGCTGCTAGTTTGTGTAATATTTATTGAACATTTTGACAAATACTTATTTTTGTAACCCTAAATGTGATTGTTTGAAAGCTTATAGAAACTTGACCAAAAGACAGTACAGAAACACTGGCACTTGAATGTTGAATGTTACCGTATATGGAATAATTCAGGGTAGTATGAGCTGTTAAGGTTAAGTCCTATTACAGTCGAATTATTGGCACTGGAGCTAGAATTTTCTGATAAAATTTAAGACAAATTGGCAACTTGAAATTGATATATGCCAAGGTTTTGCTATACTTGTCTTTTAAGATAATTAATGAAAACACTTCTAAATGATAGAAAGCATCCACGTTCTCAAAGTTTCTCTGAGTTTTGTTTAGTTGAGTGCTTGATTTGGTTTTCAGTGATTGTCTGGCATATTTGCAATCTTGAAACATGTGTTTATCTTTGTGTATTAATCTTTTGTATTATTTTTGTGTATTATCTTTGTGTGCCATAATCAGTGACTTTTACATTCAGGAATATTAGCCAGCAATATTTTCAGTAAATAATAGGTTTAACTTGCTGATTGTAAACACTGAACCTCAAGTCACTGTAAGTTTATTTGCTTATTGAATTAGTTTTAGATGATAGCATTGCATGTGCTGTTTGTTCTGATTTTACTAAAATAAAAATTTGAAGTAAAAAAAAAAAAGAATCATGAACCAGACCCTGGGTTCAATCCCCACAACCAAGGAGACAAAACAATTCTAAATGAAACTTATTGTAGCTAGAATTGCTATTTGGGGGAGATTTTTCAGTGGCATGAATATAATGAAGGTTGGTGCTCATCAACATGCTTCAGAGTCATTTCTGAAACAATTCACATTTGCCTAAATCTGTAAGTAAGACCTTGATAGCAGACCACCCACCTACAGAAGGAGACTCTACTACTGTCCTTAGTTGTAGGCAGTTACACTGTCCACCAAAGATCTACTGGTGTTCTCTTTAGTTTTATTGACTACCAGTTAAAATAAAAGCCTATGGTTTCGACCATGCCAATCCGTTCTCCTCTGTTGATATTTGAGTTACTGGAATAATATCTGACCACTCAAGAATGAAAGCACCAAAAGCACAGATTTAGTTTTTCAGGTATATATGTAAGTTAATTTCCCATTTCCCTAATGAAGATCAATGTTTGAATTCTCTAAAGCCTCATAATCTCTCCAAGGCAAGAAGGAACCAGAGGACATAAAAGCAACCAAAGTGATTATCTTTAAGTTAGGTCCTTCTCTCTGTGAATTATGAAAAAAAGGCCGTGATGCTTATGAACATACAAACTAAGGTGTCATAATCAGCGATATATCACGATCGACTTATTGAGTGGTGTACCCTATGTAGGGCTCAGCTGCTATGAGGCTTGAAAACAACATTACATTCATACCACTGCCCTGGTCAATAGTGTAACTGTTTTTCAATATTTAGTTGAGAAGTTTTATTGACCCTTTTACAAAGAGTGCCTTATATATTTATTTTAGATTTATCAGCCTCCTTGGATTTGTGTGTGTGTGTGTGTGTGTGTGTGCATTTCTCTTTTCTCCATAGCACCTTACAGAATGTCCTATATAGAAAGAAGCATTTAGTCAATACTAGTGAAGTAAAATTACCTCTATCCTCTTCCTAAGGTGACTTGAAACAATTGTACTTTCACAGTAGCCCAAACTGTTTCAATTTATCCTTCCTCTGTGCTTGTGAAAACAGCAATAAAATTGAAATTAAAATGACTGAGCTTCAACAAGGGTTAAAGCAACAACTCTTTCTTCAAAAAGGAATCCCAGTTAATAATTGTAGAAGAAATGAGGAAAGTAGAAAGTGACCATAATAATTGTAATAACTAATAATTGTAGCAAACAGGCAAGATCCATCTCTATCGTCTAAAATTGGGTAATGAATAAAAGTTTTAAGTAAAAACAGAACATTTTTATAATTGCAAAGTACCTCTTTTCAAAAGATTTACTAATTACAATGGAGGAAAAGTGGAGAAATCTGGCAGATGTCATCTTAACCAAGCAATCATGGTTCATGTCCCAAATAATACTACATAAGCTCCATAATATCATGACCTGGAGGTACAGCTCTTCAACCTAAACATAAGAAAATATCAGACAAACCAAAATCAAAGAACACGCTCCAAAATTACTAACCTGCCCTCTTCAGATGAGTCAAAACATAGTAGAGAAGGAGAAGTTATCGAAAATTGTTCTACATGGTGAGTGACTTGACTACTAAACGTAGTAAACGGACTCTGAGTTGGATCTTAGGGACAAAAGAGGACATTTGTGGGAAAATTGGTAAAATATAAAAAAACTAAAGTTCAATGAATTGTAGTGTACAGAAGTTAATTTCTTAGTTTTTTTCACTGTTCCATGGGTGTGCATGGTGCTAACATTAGGAGAAGTTGATGAAGCCCATACAGAAACTCTGAAATTTGTGTTAGTCTAAAATTACCAAAATTTAAAATAAGAAATTTACAAAATAATTGAGCTTAGGAACCAATGCTGTCACCTATCAGTGACATGTCGTTAGGTAACTCACCCAAGCTGTCTGTCAGAGTCCTAGTTCTGATCATCTCGAAAGTGAGAGGAACAGTGCCCACCTCTTATTAACATGAAATGGGACTGGGAGCATGAGAGAACCTTGAAACTCTACAGTCTTCTATAAGATATATTTTATTATGATGTAACCCCTTCCCTTCAGTGTTCCACCCACTTGGATTTCTAAGATAAAAACATAAGACCCAAATTAAATTTCAATTGATAGTAAACAATAAAAGGCTATTTTTTGTCATTAAGTTTATTGGTATATTTTAGGTATACAATACAGTTACATTCATCATTGGGAACTTGTACCAGTAGGGGAAGTGGGAGGGGTGGGGTAAAGGAAAGAAGGGAAAGGAAAACATGAGAAATGGAAAAAATGGAAACAAAGCCTTTGTAAATGGGGGGGGGGGTTGAAGGGAGGGCAGAGGAACGGGGAAAAAATAAGAACCAAACCGCTATTTTAAAATTTGAGACATACTTACACTGATTTATTTTACTTCAATTCATATTTAACTGGATGTCCCACACAGTATTTTTGTGTATTAAATCTTGCAAACCTATGTCCACTCCACATCATATATTCTCTCCCTTTCTTTAAAATACATCACCTTACTCTCTCCCTCAGCCTTTCATTACCCAGGGCTGGTAATTCTGGCACAGTAATTCCAGCCAAACTCCATGGCAGCCCATCCTCCAGGAGAAATGCACAAATGTTACTCAGTCACAATGGATAGGGTTAGGGTTAGGGTTAGACTCTAACAAACTGAATTTACAAAGCATTCGTGACACAAAGGAATTTCCTCTCTCCTATTCATCTTCCAATTTTGCAAACTGCATTTTAAATATTTAAAGGTATTTTTATTGTCCATCTCTGATAATCATCCATCTCTGATAATCGCCCAATGATATCAGTGCTCTGCAGATTTTTAAGCAATGAGAAAATATCACAACCACTGACATTCATGTGATAGAATTAGTAAACCAAAGTACCAGCCCATCTCCTGGGCCCTGTGGTATGGTTTGGAAGAAATGACCAGATGGAGGTTTTAAGGATGGAACTTTCACACACATGAGCTAATGCTATAGGGATTTATGCCTATCTTCACTTTACCTGATGAGATACTGAAGTTGAAGGAAGACTAATAACATTGGCTCTTTCAACTCATGAGGAATTGATCATCTTGTTGCTTCAGGCCATGCATGTACTTCTTTTCT